AAGATGTATTCACCCAATTTTGTTGAAGGTGATAAAGGACTGGACGAAGAAGAATTTTCCCACAATGATAGGAGTTGAATTTCACATAGCCTTGCTTTCCCAAAAGTTCTTCTCAGCCATCTCATCTTTTCGTGAAATTGTCGATAGTAACGTCAGCTCAACTCATGTCATCGTGGGAAAATTCTTCTTCTGCCAGTCCTTCATCACCTTCAACGAAATTGTGTGAATACATCTCAGATATAGAATGGATTGGCTAATTATATTTCCTACTAGAAATATTTCCTGCTTAACTTTTACCGGTCTTTCTCGCATTCTTTCTATCGCCTAATCTGTTGGTCTCGATGTCTGTGTTCATGATGCACTTCACTGCGGACATGCAGCATACTCAGTCCTACACAACTTTAATTTCTACTCTTTTTTACTAAAAACCCCGAACTCTATTCACACAATGCACTTGTGTCTCTGCGGTGCCGGCATTTGCTTCCAGCCGAAAGCATCTTTCAGATGGCCAAAAGCAGCAAGACCCCACTCGAATTAATTGATGCCATCAGCGCCAGTCCGATGAGCGACTTCGGCTTTCCGCTGCTGCTCGTAACGGATATGTGGGCGGTGGTCGACGATTTACGACGTGGAATTTTAGGCAACCTGTCCAATCCAGTGGCCATCGGTATCCAGGAGACTTTTTGACTCATCCCTCCAATGGCCAGCCCGGACGACGCCTCTGCTCGTTTCTCACCACTTGAAACATGCTGCTGGAGGTCAACTCGAGCCAAAGACCCTTTCAACTGACCGAGTTAACCCGATTTATTCCTACTCACCGTCACCTGACTATGTTGCCTGTCACGTCTCCTTCCGTCTACAGACCATCTTCTCTTGGCCTCTTCGTCCTTTTGCTCAACAGCCCCGAATCTTCAGGACAGCTGACTACGCTCTAACATGTGCGTCAATGGGTCGGCGTGTACGCAGTCAATTCATGGACGTCTGAATTTACTTTTTCCCATTTCTCTTTCATCCTCCCCTCCAGCCTGATCCCAGCCTCAAGCCTCCACAGCATCACCAACCAGGAGATCCTGCACTATTTTTGTGTAATCCATTTCCCTCAAATATTTGCAAATTGTGGTGCCATTTTTTCTTAACCTTGTCGCTTCTCAGGATCACTTGTGGATGTCTGACCTCTGTTATTTCGAGCTTTGGCATTTCACTTGGAAAATTCGTCGTCAGCCTGTACTGATTTCCTTTGTTCGAGGCCTTGGGCTGAAGTTATGCTTTGACTCTACATCATATTCACACACACACACACACATAAATACATACATACATGCATACATTCATTCATTCATTCATACATTCATTCATTCATTCATACATACATACATACATATGTATTAAGTAAAATTAAAGAATAACGTATGCTCCAAAGAAAACGAATATATCCTACAGATGTGAAAATCTGGAAGTTAGGGCTGTTTTCAAGAAAAGTGAATGTATTTCTGTAATATGGCTATATGATATATGTATATATATATATCATATATATATATATATATATTTCCGTCATAACCTGAATTTTTACTCTTTATTAATAAAAACCGCGAACTCCATTCACATAAAGCACTTGTGCCTCTGAGGTGGCGACAGTTGTTTCCAGCAGACAGTATCTTTGAAACGGCCAAAAGCAGCAAAGTAGTCGTCCATATTGCGAACTAAAAGTGCCTCCCGAATTAAACGTTGCTTAAATGAAGCCATGCAATTATTTGTTAAAATTGGTGACAAACGGAATCCCATAGCCGAACCTCGTGTTTGTTCGTACGGCTTACCATTCAAGGTCAAATATGTACAGTACATCGCCAGGTTGGTCAATATCATTATTCCCACTTTACTCAACCTTACGCTCATTAAAATCTCCGCATGTTGGTCGAGTGTGAATTGCAGGGCCTGTATGGCATCATCTACAGGAATGTTAGTGTAGATAGACTCAACATCAAAACTTACCATCAAATCCTCACTTTATAACTCCTGCTCGCCGATTAAATTAACGAATTCCTATGAAGGGTGAATAATGACACTGACCAACCTAGCGATGTACTGTACATATTTTAATTGTACAAATAAACACGAGGTTTAGCTACATCAGGTCACCAACTTTAGCAAATAATTGCATGGCTCAATCTGAGGAACGTTTAATTCAGGAAGCACTTTTAGTTGCTAAATTATTCTTTCGCTATGTTGATGACTACTTTGCTATTTGGCAACA